GTAAAAAGTCCGACGCGTTTAAACTTTTTCGGAAACGCGGAACACGCGGGCATTTCGACGCATACACATCTCTTGAACGCGAACTCAAGAGCCTCATCAAGGCCAAAAAACGGGGTTACTGGCGGCAGTTTGTAGACGGATTGTCGCGCGAAACGTCTATGAATACGCTTTGGAGTACGGCGCGAAGAATGCGTAACCGGTCTACTAACAACGAAAGCGAGGAATGCTCGGATCAATGGATTCTTAAATTCGCGCGAAAAGTGTGTCCGGATTCCGTGCCGTCGCAGTTGATTCCTCGCGAAACCGCGAATTCGGTAGACGAAATCAGTCAGCCTTTTTCAATGGTGGAACTTTCACTCGCTCTCCTTTCGTGTGGCAATTCTGCCCCGGGATCTGATAGAATCAAGTTCAACTTGCTGAAAAACCTCCCAGACGTCGCTAAGAGGCGCATGTTGAACTTGTACAATCAGTTCTTGGAGCTCAATATTGTTCCCGACGATTGGAGACGAGTGAGGGTGATAGCCATTAAAAAGCCTGATAAACCCACGTCGGATCACAATTCGTATCGGCCCATCGCGATGCTGTCGTGTATTTGGAAATTGATGGAGAAAATGATCCTTTTTCGCCTCGACAAATGGGTTGAGACGAACCACCTTCTCCGTAGGGGTAAGGGAACGAACGACTGTCTCGCGTTGCTTTCCTCGGAAATTCAGTTAGCTTTTGCTAAGAAAGAGCAAATGGCTTCTGTGTTCTTGGATATCAAGGGGGCTTTTGATTCAGTATCCGTTGAAGTTCTTTCAGAGAAACTCCACGCTTGTGGATTGTCTCCATTAATGAATAATTTTTTGTACAATTTGCTGTCAGAAAAACATATGAGCTTTTCTCATGGAAACTCTACAGCTTTTCGATTTAGCTACATGGGTCTCCCCCAAGGCTCATGTTTAAGCCCCCTTTTGTACAATTTCTACGTTAGAGAAATTGATGTCTGTCTTAGTGACAATTGCACGTTGAGACAACTTGCAGATGACGGCGTAGTGTCTAAAGGGTGATACGGTCAAAATTTGGTCAATATCAACTTGACGTATTTCTTTCAATTTTGCATTTAAAAAACCTGAACACCCCTCATTTTGAAGGTGTGTGTGTGTAGAATGTTGCTCCTATTTTGATTTTGGAATTCACTATTCAGTTGTCAAAATGCCGTCCAAGCAAGAAGAGCAGCGTATCAAAATTTTGCTCGCGCATCGCGAAAATCCGAGCTACTCGCACGCAAATTTAACAAAATCGCTAAAAGTTGCCAAATCAACCGTTACAAATGTAATTAAAGTGTTTGGGGAACGTTTGCCGACAGCCAGGAAGTCTGGATCGGGGGGAAATCGAAAACCGGAAGCCGCTGAGACGACAAAGAGAGTTGCCGGTAGTTTCAAGCGAAACCCTAACCTCTCTCACCAAGATGCCGCAAATAAGCTGGGTGTATCGTCTACAACCGTGCATCGAGCCAAAAAACGAGCCGGACTATCGACTTACAAGAAGGTAGTGACTCCAAATCGCGATGATAAACAAAATACGACGGCCAAAGCGCGATCCCGGAGGCTGTACACGACGATGCTGACAAAGTTTGACTGCGTGGTAATGGACGACGAAACCTACGTCAAAGCCGACTACAAGCAGCTTCCGGGACAGGAGTTTTATACGGCAAAAGGAAGGGGAAAGGTAGCAGATGTTTTCAAGCACATGAAACTGTCAAAGTTCGCAAAGAAATATCTAGTTTGGCAAGCCATCTGTACCTGTGGCTTGAAAAGCAGCATTTTCATAGCTTCCGGGACTGTCAACCAAGAAATTTACGTGAAAGAGTGTTTGAATAAACGTCTGCTGCCTTTCCTGAAGAAACACGGTTGTTCCGTACTGTTTTGGCCGGATTTGGCATCTTGCCATTACGGTAAAAAGGCCATGGAGTGGTACGCGGCCAACAACGTGCAGGTGGTTCCCAAGGACAAGAACCCTCCCAACATGCCAGAGCTCCGCCCAATTGAGAAATACTGGGCTATTGTCAAGCGGAACCTAAAGAAGACCAAAAAACTGCTAAGGGCGAGCAGCAGTTCAAGGCAAACTGGCTTTCTGCGGCGAAGAAGGTGGACAAGGTGGCTGTACAAAATCTGATGGCAGGGGTCAAGCGTAAGGCCCGGCAATTCGGATTTGGAAAAGCGGAAGCCTAACTGAATATTTTTCCTGAATTTTATACTAATTGAACTTGAAAAAGAAATTTAATTTGATTTTTTAAATAAACGATTTCACCGATTTACACGCGTTTTCCCTTGACCAAATTTTGACCGTATCACCCTTTATCACAGGGCCCAAAGGGGTCGACCTGCAAGGACCCTTACAGGATACCTTGGACAATTTGTCTACTTGGGCTATTCAGCTAGGTATCGAATTCTCCACGGAGAAAACTGAGTTGGTCGTTTTTTCTAGGAAGCATAGCCCAGCACAACCGAAGCTTCAACTTTTGGGTAAACCGATCACTCATTCCATGTCTTTTAAATATCTCGGGGTCTGGTTCGATTCCAAATGCACCTGGAGATCTCACATTGAGTATCTGAGACGAAAATGCCAACTAAGGATCAATTTTCTTCGATCAATTACCGGAACGTGGTGGGGAGCCCATCCACAAGATCTTCTGACGTTGTACCGGACAACGATTTTATCGGTTCTAGAATATGGTAGTTTTTGTTTCCAGTCGGCAGCTAAAACGCACATCATCAAGCTGGAACGGATCCAGTATCGTTGTCTTCGTATCGCGTTAGAATGCATGCACTCAACTCATACTATGAGTCTCGAAGTGCTGGCGGGCATGTTGCCACTATCCGTCCGTTTTTCAGAGTTATCTCTGAGGCTCCTCACCCGTTGCGAAGTAATGAACCCACTGGTGATCGAAAACTTTGAGAAGCTTCTGGAGCTAAATCCTCAAACATGTTTTATGACATTGTACTACCTATATTTAACACAGGATGTCAGCCCTTCAAGAAATATTCCCAATCGTGTAGTCTTCTCCGATTTCGGCAATTCAGTGAATTTCGATTTATCTATGACGCAGGAAATCCGCGGAATTCCAGAGCATCATCGTCCTATGATTGCTCCGTCATTATACGCTGCAAAGTTTGGCCATGTTGATTCTGCAAGAACGTTTTTCACAGATGGATCTCTAATAGAGGAGTCCGCTGGTTTTGGTGTATTTAATGAATTTCATAGCGCCTCTCGAAAACTTGAAGCTCCTTGTTCTGTGTATGTGGCTGAACTGGCAGCAATTCACTACACTTTGGAAACTATTGCTTCACTTCTTCCGCACCACTACTTTATTTTTACGGATAGTCTCAGTTCTGTCGAGGCTATCCGTTCCATTAGGCCGGTAAAGCACTTCTCGTAATTTCTCTTGAAAATACGAGAACTGCTTAGTGATTTATCCGTGCGCTTTTTCATCATCACCTTTGCGTGGGTCCCTTCGCATTGCTCAATTTTGGGCAATGAGAAGGCGGATTCACTTGCGAAGGTGGGCGCTATGGAAGGCGACATTTATGATCGACAGATCGCCTATAGTGAATTTTTCTCTATTTATCGTCAGCAGTCGCTCGTTAGCTGGCAACATCAATGGAGTGAAGGGAGCTTGGGACGATGGCTACATTCAATTATCCCTAAGGTGTCGAAGTTTGCATGGTTCAAAGGGTTGGACTTGAGTCGAGACTTCATACGCGTGATGTCTCGTCTCATGTCCAATCACTATTGTCTAAACGCTCACTTGTTCCGTGTGGGGTTGGGAGACAGCAATCTCTGTGAATGTGGACAAGGTTACCAGGACGCTGATCACATCCTTTGGTCTTGTGCGGAGTATCGTGAAGTCAGATCACATTTTTATGATTCCCTTCGGGCTCGAGGTAGACAACCTAATGTTCCAGTTCGGGATATTTTGGCTAGACGCGATCTGGAGTTTATGAAACTCATATATGTTTACTTTAAGGATATTAACCTTAGATTGTAAGTTTGATTAACCGTGTGTTTAGTTTGTATTTTGTACGTGTGGGGTTTTTTTTTTCAATGTTTGTTTTCAAGATGAATAGAAACAATTTCATGCTAAACCACATTTCAAACCTCCTTCTTCCCTTTTCCCATCCAAAAAATTGTAAATCTCCACTAACCTCGAGACAACCGCGAGTACTCGGTCCAGTTCCTTTAACTTTAAATTTAGGACAGTAATAATGTATATCGCAAAGGATAACTTGGATCTGTAAAGTTTATTCGATTGAGCCTGTACAAATAAAGTAATTATAAAAAAAACTGATTTTTTCCGGATAAATTAACCAGCTTGATTTTTTTTCGTTCATATATCATAAAATCTACCTTTGGGAAATATTTCATAAAATTCTGAGATCCTTCGGCCCAAGCCTGTCCGATAATAAAAAAAAACCCCAGCATAAAAAAACTGATTCAAATAGGGATATCATTACAACTCCGCCAGTCCAAGGCTAAAATGCATGAGTATCTGTAGATTTGTTCACCCAGTGTATTCTTATAAAATAGTGCATACCGCAACTGCTGGTGCATCATTTCTGGGGCAAAATCTCAGTTGTCGTGGGTCGTGGTATTCGCTAATTTATTTTCCACAGCGCAACTAAAGAGAACCCTCCATGAGTCGATATCGGAAAGGCTTTCCACTTTTGGAACTATCGACATGTGAAGCAGCAAACCTATAGCAAATTGATTGAAAGTACCATCGCAGTAGCCAGGAAATGCAATTTTTAGCATGACTCCATTAGTCGCTAACGGCTCATAAAATGTCGACTCATGGAGGCCTTCACGACTTAGCGTTTCCCAGTGATTTCCCATTGCTCTATAATAATAGGATACATTAGGCTCAAAGAACGTAGTTTGCTTTTATGAAAGTAGAATCCATGCCACAATGTCAATGAAATATTTAAGGTTAACATTTTCATTCGACTTCTCCTTTTCAGGTCTCTGTCTAACGAACGACATCGATACCCTCCTCTATCACATGAACAATGCCCGCTACGTTCGGGAGGTGGACTTTGCCCGTGTGGACTTCTACGAGCGTACTCTGCTCTATCGGACCATTTGCAGTAAGGGAGGTTCGGTGGTTCAGGGGGCAACGACCATCCGCTACAGGAGATTCATCCGACCCTTCACACGCTTCAGGATCAGCTCCAGGGTGAGAGGCACTGCAAATGCAATCGTCTTTGGATTTTAATTAATTACTACACATTTCGTCCCTTCTCTACACTGACTCGTCTTCTCTTTCGATAACGCAGATTGTTTACTGGGATAATCAATCGATTTTTATGGAGCATCGATTCATCGGAACGTCGGATGGATTCATTCATTGCATAGCTCTGTGTCGCCAGCGGGTCATCGAATGCTCGGTGGAGGATGTCATGGCGACACTGTTAAAGGCCAACGCTACTGCGACCAGCTCGACCGAGTGCTTGGATCGATTGGAAAATGGTGGCACTGGCGGTGGAGGCATCATAGTTGGCAATGGCAGTGAGTACGTCAGCAAGCTGAAACCGGAAATGCCACAGGAGGTTGCCAAGTGGCTGGAGTGGAACGAAATCTCCAGTGCTAGTTTACGGAATGAGTGCTGATTTGATGGGGTGGCTATTGTTGGATGTTGGAATTTTCCTTTAAGGTAACAACAGCGGGATGAGAGGAGCAATTATGCTAATTTGTGCTAATTGTGGGTTGTTGTTTTCTAGGAATTGCGTGTAATTTGGCTGTCCTGCTTTTCCATAGAAAAGCAACGTAGTTGATGGAAAATGGATTCTAAATCGCTCTCCTATTGTTAATTTCTGTTGGAATAAATCCTTCAAATTTTAACTGAATTTCAAAGCTTTAGTTATGTATTTTTATTCGACAAATATTACAAATTTTCTGAGTCCCACCACCATTTGATATTGTATATTGTATACGAATTGATTCCTCGCTTGGTCATCTAGGTACGTTTTCTGAACTTAGGGAACTTCTTTTCTGGGAAAATGGTATAGAAGGGGCAGTTATCCACATTCAAATGCTTCTTGATAGCTGCGCATCCAGCCAAGTTGTCCTTGAAGATTGCACTGGGGCAGCTCTGGAAGAAAATTTAACCATGGGAAAACCCATTTAATGGTGAATATTTAAGAGTAATAATTTAGTTACCTTGTAAACCGACACGTGAACACACTCCATGATGAATCCGGCGGCTGGCGAGCAGATGCGTTCATTCGGGAATTTCTTCTGTAGGGCAGTCATTTCGCTATTGAACTCTCCCTTGCGAGAGTCTGCATCGTCGAGGCACTGCTTGGCGGCTTTCTGAACAATATCAGTCCAGATCGATTTGACGTTCAGCTTTTCCAGGAACGTCTGCAACGCCTTGGCATCGTTGACATTTTGACTGCGGTCAAAGATTCGGGTACTGTTCATCACGCACTCCGACATGCACTTGAAGGTAGGTGGGAGAAGAGAAGATGGTAATTCGTACAACCAAGTTAAATAAAGATCAATTGACTTACATCTGGTTTGATTTCATCTTGCGGATTCTGTGGTGGGGGGAATGCCGTGACACAATTCTTGACGACGTTTTCGCCGAGCAGCTTGGGTGTTTTGCAGCATTCGAATGGATCGACGTTAAAGTTTTTGTTCAGACAGCTAGCCGGAACATCACCGCTGGCGGCGGCATTGACCAGAGTGAGTTGAACTACAGCGAGAAGAACTAAAACGGAGGAGACGGTTGCCTTCATGGTGAGCTTCCGAGTGTTGGCTGGGTGTTGTTAGGAGGGTCACTGCAAACTGATGGATGGTGAAATGTTGATGGAGTACTCAGTATATATAGAACAGAAAAGGGAACAACAGTAATTTAAAATCCATTAATAGTGAAACTAATTGAATTTTGAATTGAACGGAAACGGTAAAGGACCATGCTGGAGAGGTTTTTTTTAATAAGGTAAGTTTCGTGATCGTGTGTTTTACTTTCCGATTGTTAACAACGTTTCAGTGATCAATTACGTGCGATTATCTCCAGGTCATGGGAATATTAGAAACGTCACTTATTTCACATACTTCTGAAAGTAATTGTTGTTTTCAAAGCTTCTTAGAGTTCTGCTGTGATTATGATTTTCCGTCTCTGATGAAATAAATTTTATGTTTGCTAGGAAAAGATATCGATGCCGACGGAGCAGGCTCCAGTTCCAGGAGGATTCTGTCAATTCCGATGGAGATTTTCGATGCTGTCACCGGAAGTTTCGGTGTTTTTTGACGTTAAGCAAAATAACCATAACAATTGTTTCTACCACCTATTTCACAAAGCGGGACCAAAGAATACTATTTTATTATGAAACGCACAACTTTAGGCTACTTTTATCGTGGTTCTAGAATAAAAAATCTAAAAATATTGTTTTTATTTCGAAGTTTGACTGGTAGGAAACGTCATTTTCAACTGCTCGTATGAACCAGTCAGTCAGTCTCAAGTCGATTTCGATGGAGATTTTCGATGCAGACAACGGTAGATTTTCTGAATCCTCAACAGAACAGGTTCTAGTTGATTCTGGTGGAGATTTCAGATGCTACCAACGAAAAGTTCCTGTAGATTTTTATGAATTCACAACGGAGCCGGTTGCATTCGATTCCGGTGGATTTCGATACTACTTATGAGATGGATAAATAGGATAATAATTAGGTAGGTCATGACTTTCCATACACATTTCCTGACAGTTGATGAAAGGTCAATTGGATTCAAGCTGCTGCACGGGTAAGTTGAACATTGATTAGTGGATTTTTCTGACGTTGTCGGCGGAAGATGTTCAGTCGGTTTCGGTGAAGATTTTAGATGCTGCCTACGAAAAATCGTTTAATTTTTCTGCATTCTCGACAGAGTAGAAGAAGAGCTTGGGTTCCAGTTGGTTCCGGTGAAAGTTATGACAACGATTTTTCTGACGATGTCGACGTAACAGGCTCCAGTAGATTCTGGTGGAGATTTTCATTCAGCCAACGAGTGGGTTCCATTTGATTCAGGTGAAGATGTACGGTGCTGTCAACGAAAGTTCCAGTGGATTTTTCTGATGTTGACAGCCATTTTCCAGCATTCTCGACGGAGCTTGGGTTCCAGTCGATTTCGGTGGAGATATTCGATGTTTCAAGCAAACATTCCAATGGATTTATGCGAAGTTTCCTAAAATTGTCGAAGTAGTAGGTTCCTGTCGTTTTCAGTGGAGATTTTTATGCTCCCAGTTCCGGTGGATTTTCTGTATTCAGTATCGAAAATCTTCCGAAACCTGATCCGTCGGCAACGTGGATGCAAACTCCTTTAACTGCAGCTTGGTCTGGAACGTTTGAAGTAATCGTTGTATCAGCGTGATTTTTTTGCTTGTTTTTGTTGATGTCAAAATTAACAGTGTAGTAAAAAGTCACCCATCGTGCTTTGTGAAAGATGATATAATAAATATCGCTAATCTGTTTAATCCGGGTTTATCTTTCCTAATATTTTCTAATCTTTTAAATATATCAGCATAGCGGCGCCGGTGGTGTAGTGGTATACGTGATTACCTCTCACTCCAGCAGGCCGACGAGCGTCTTGTGGATATGGGCAACAGCATCAGGCGCACTCGTACTGGCGAGATGCTCCTGGTGTTTAAGCGTGGCGCTAGAGACCAAGGACCAACTTTCCAGAAACTGGCAAACGAGGTCGTTGGAAATGGGGTGCAGGTAAGATCGCTAGGCTCGACGATCACCATCCAGGTTAAGGACTTGGATGAAGTGACAGTGGTGACCGAACTGGCCAAGGCGCTTAGGGAGCAGTGCCAAATCGAGGTACCGCCAACAGCGGTTACCATGAGGAAGGGACTGTTCTCCACCCAGGTGGCTACCGTCAAGCTCCCGGCAGTTGATGCCAGGAAGGCGGCAGCCACAGGGAAGGTACGAGTGGGCTGGTCGGTTTGCCCGGTGAGCATCCCCCGACCGGTTACGGCTTGCTTTAGGTGCTTCGGTCAGGGCCATGTGGCCCGTGACTGTAAGAACACCGACAGGAGCAAGGTTGCCAAAAGCCACCGAGGTGCACTATATGCGCGGAGAAGGGGAAATCCCCTACCAACCACATGGCAGGTGGCCCACGCTGCCCGGAGGCCAAGAGCAATGCTGCCCCGGCCAAGAACAATGCTCAGCCATGTTCGAGGTAGCGCAGTTGAACCTGAACCATTGCTCGGCTGCCCAGCAATTGTTGTGGTAATCGGCAGCGGAATGGGGAGTGGATGTCGCAATCATCTCCGACCCGTACCGTGTCTCATCCGGCAACGGGAATTGGGTCACGGACGCGTTGGGGATGGTGGCGATATGCACGATGGGGAGCTTCCCCGTTCAGGAGGTAGTCTCGTCCAACTCGAGCGAGGGATTCGTGATCGCCAGGATTAATGGAGTATATTTAAGTAGCTGATATGCTCCGCCCAGCTGGTCTATCGAGCAGTTCTCGCAGATGGTGGACAGACTCACTGCGGTACTTGTCGGCCTAAGACCGGGGGTCATTGCGGGCGACATTAACGCATGGGCGGTGGAGTGGGGCAGCCACCACACCAACCAAAGAGGATGCATCCTACTGGAGGCAATGGCCAAACTGGACGTTGTACTAGCGTTAGCGATATTGCCAAGTCGCTGGTGGTGGGCAAGGCCCCGGGCCCAGATGGGATCCCGGTTGTGGCTCTGAGGGCGGCCGTTGCGGAAAATCCAGACATGTTCCGTTCTGTTTTTCAGACCTGTCTGGACGTAGACATCTTCCCAGATGCGTGGAAGTGGCAGAGGCTGGTGCTGCTGCCGAAGCCAGGAAAACCCCCTGGGGACCCGTCAGCATACAGGCCCATTTGTTTTCTGGACACCACTGGTAAACTGCTTGAGAGGGTCATCCTCAACAGTCATCCAGACGGCAGAGGTGGTCCACCGTTACTGCGCGGTGTTAACCTTAGATGTGAAGAACGTGTTCACAGTGCGTGCTGGGGGGCGATAGCCCGCTCGCTACACCAGCTCCAAATTCCCGGAGGGCTGTACAAGATTCTGGAAAGCTACTTCCAGAATCGTGCGTTAACGTACGACACAGAACATGGTGAAAAATGCGTAAGAGTCACCGCAGGAGTGCCACAAGGCTCTATCCTGGGCCCAGTGTTATGGAACGTCATGTACGATGGATTGTTGAGGATAAGATTCCCGGTAGGCGTGAAAATTGTAGGTTTTGCCGACGATGTCACGCTGGTAGTCTACGGGGAATCCCTCGAGGAGGTAGAGTTGACAGCGGCTCAACTGCGTCAAACTTGTGGAGGAATGGATGAGATCCAGGAAACTGGAAAACGATTAAAAAATTAATTTCTTTGCAAAATATCACAAAAATGATGCTTAACCAAAAAGTTCCTAAATTTGTCCAGAAGTTGGTGTGTCAGAGATTTTTTTTTTCTACAAATGTTACAAAATTTTCTTCTATTTGAGAATTATTTTTAGAAGTCTCTAATTGACTTCTATTTTTGCTAGATATATTAAAAAAAATATTTACTTTACTTAATAATCTATTTTTTTAAAGTAGGGGAATTTACGTATTCTCAGCAACCTAAGCAGTGACCTTCGTTCTATTGCCTTTTTCTCTATGGAACGCACACATATGCAGAATTGGTTTGTTTAAAATCTTTTGCTGCCAGCTGCTCTAACAATTTCAGTCGAAAGAATTGTCAAAAACTGTTTTGAAACGCTTTTACAAAGCTCCAATCTTCTCTAGTGAGAGCGAGTATTGTCGGCAACCAGTTTTTCTTCGGCAACCGTTCCATTTGAACTACATGTAAATCTGCTGTTCTATTATCGGCAACTCGAAATCAGCTACAATTTGTAGTGCGTGTGTTTCATTTCAAGAAAACCCTGCTAGATTGCTTTTTCTCAGTGGTAAAAATATAGTCAAATTGAAGCTGAAAGCATAAAGAATCGTTTGTATGCATTCAGCGAAGTGTTTTCGTAAGAAAATCCAGTGAAAATAGTGTTTCAATTTGGGTTGCCGAAAATAGTCTATCATGCCGAAGCCGTCATTTCCCCTATATATTTTTTTTTCATTTTAAAATAAATTCTCTACAACTCATCCTTGAACAACATTTCGATACATTCAATAGTTTTTAGGATACCGTATGCGTGATAATGTTTGCACCATCGTACAAATAAGGTTCACGTTTCACCTGTGCATACAATGCCTTGGTTTTCTTTGCATGCACGTAACCTATAGCTCATACCCTAGTAGGCTGTGTATAAAAGAAAATGATTTACTTAGTTTGACAGTTGCACCATGACGAAGTGGCAGCGTATTCGTGACTTGTCCCACGCGCAAATGTCGCAAAAAGACATTTCAATCGCCGTGGGAGTGTCCCGGTGGACCGTCAAAAGGGTTTTAGACCGAGAAAAGAAAGGACAACTATCCACGAAGGTGGCCACAGGACGTCCGAGGTCAGCTAGGGTTCCGAGGGTTATCGCTGCTATCAAAAGGAAGATTCGGGTGAAGATCGGCTCGGAAGATCGTAAAGGAAGATTACGGGGTGAAGTAAAGGGCATGGAAAAAAACTCACATGATTACCAACCGCATCCGGGAGCTACGAGTCAAACGATGTAAGAAAATCTTGAAGTTCCTTAAGCGAAAAAATCCGGTAATCCTGTTCACCGACGAGAGCATGTTAACCGTCGATCCCGTATCAAATTCCAGAACCGACCGGTATATTGGTTCTTTTCCGGTAAAACGTGGCCGACGAACACTAGAACGTGTATCTGACCAAGCATCCTGCTAGCGTTATGGTGTTTGGATTGGTGGCTTCCATGGCAAAAAAATGGACCCGGTGTTCATTCCAGAAAGCGACAAGGTCAACACGGAGGTCTACATCGGGATTTTAAGTAAGTATGTTCTTCCGTGGATCAAAGAACAGTACGGTCCGAAGCCAAATGTTGTATTTCAACTAGATGGGGCTCCGTGCCACACCTCGAACCGCACTCAGAAGTGGTTGCAGGAACATCTTCCGTTCTGGGCGAAGGATATGTGGCCGCCATCTAGCCCCGATCTTAATCCGCTGGATTACTCAATATGGCGCGTCATGAAGGCCAAGGCCTGTTCTAAACGCCACCCGAGTATAGCAAGCCTCAGACAAACATTGACCCGTACCTGGAGAGAAATGGATCCGGGGAGGTGTGTGGAGGCCGTAATTGCAGCAAGTGGAAAATCGATCGATGATTAACATAGTTTAAGACTCTGAGAAACATCCCCCCTTTGAATAAATAAAAAAAAAACTCGAAAACGAAATTTTTGAGATTTTTTTTAATTTTGACATTGCTCAATGGTGCAAACATTATCACGCAAATGGTACGTTTATTTCAAACATAGTGCCCATGAATAGACATTCGCCCTTTAATTATATGACGCTTGAGTCAAAATGGTCTGAATAGCTATGGAAGATTCATATTCCCTCCTGTTGAAAACATATTTTTTTTTTTTCCTTTGGTTTGTTTTTTCCGTCGATCTTGTTTTCCGTGCTGAGCACCAATGCTACCGACGTGCCAGAAAGGCAGCTCCCACACCTGGACCCTACCTATCGACCCATCAACTCATGAACCGGGGACCAATGGCTTTACTTCCCATCCGAAGGAAGGCGTGATCAGAGATGTTATGCCTCAGAACATCCCGGCGGCGCCGACTGGGATTGAACCCAGGCCTGCTGGGGTGAGAGGTAATCACGCTTACCACTACACCACCGGCGCCGTTTGTTGAAAACATAGACAAAGTTTAATTTATGTCGGAAAGCTTTTAGCTTTTTCATAAAGATTTCGCATAGTTTTTGATGTACAAACAAGGTGCTGAAAATCCATTCAAAATTATTTTTAGATATGTATATTGACTAATGACTTGTAGTAATTGATTATAGAGAGCTCATTTGGATTCGCTCAAAATATCAACCTTGACATTACCATCGCTCCGAAAAATACTCAGAATCAACACAGTTGTCCAAGGAAAATTTCCCATCCATTGAATTTCGTTTATTAAAACGTAATTCATTTCAACCCGTTCTCAATTATCCAGTTAGTTTTTTTTGTCACCATCAGATGGGTAATGCGAATTAAATTGTCCAAAAACTATCCAATCCCAACGAGATAATAAAAACGTTCGCGCCCAGAAGCCCAAGTTTCAGTTTGTTTTCACAACTAGATTGGCGACAACATGTTTCAACGACCGATTGTGGGCACAATTATCTGCTTCGTTGCATTACGACTGGCATTGGCAATCGAAACCGATGCGACCACACTCCCAACCCCAGTTGCTGCTGTAACATCTTCTAGGGAGGCACCATGCTTTAAGCCACCAACTGGCGTTGATCCGGCAGGATGTTGTAATCTTGCTGCTCCTTTCCCGGGGAAAGCACTAAGGTCATGTCAGCAGGCTCATGTTCAATGGCTGAATGGGACAAAAAATTCTACTGTGAGTAAGAAAGTAGAGTAGATTTCGAAGGCATGTCAATGTATTACCATTTGATTTTTTTTTCTCTAAAAGTGTGGATCGCAATGCCTTTTCAACTATTTGGTTAACGGTTCTACGCTGGTGCTAGACATAATGAATAATCCACCGGATAAGTGGCTTCTACAGGTACAGAACCTTAGCACTTACTTCAATACGATTACAAATTGTGTGAAAATTGCAAACTTTGACCAATTTCTGATGAATCTGATGAGTGAGGGTATCGCTTTTCAAGATGTTTTATGCGAACTGGACCTGTTGGTAGTAGCTGAGTGTATTAGCAAACATTTGTTCCTGGTAGGTTGAATACGTAGAGTTATTTTGGTTCAATGATTGATAACTAAACATTTGTTAAATTTGTTTCTATTCCAGAATTGTCCAGTGTTTGACAAAAGTGAACAATGCCAGGCTGTGAAAGCCTTTTTGAATTCGAATTGCTTGTATAGCCAATTATTTACGTAGAGGTTTGCAACTTGATTCGATGGTGAGCGACGGACATTTACTTTAACAATGGTTTAAATATTGTTGTATTATTACGTTATGGTGGGCTTACAAAAATATTGGAACTTCATATGCATCAAACCAAACTTTACATCAAATATCCGAACGTTTCATGGAGCTCCTGCAACATTAGTCTTCATGGCCAAAGATGACGATATAGGCATCATCTGCGGATCAATTGGTTCCCATGTTGGGTTTACCAGTGGCGTACTGTCACCGCCAAACTTGCAATATTTTGTTTTCCATTTTTATTTAACGATACACATTCCATTTTCACAATACACATTCCTTCGAAGTTAAACATGACTAATGAGATCAACCCAAATCTGAGTTCAGTTATCTCATAATCGCAAAAGTGCAGGAACTCAGCGATGAGTAAATGTGCATCATGTTTTCCTCTGGAAAACCTTAGAAAAACTGCCTGAAATGGGGAAAATTGACGAAAAGCAAACTAGGAGTAGTACCAGTCAGTGATGCAAAATCACGACAATACACGGCGATATCCAAAATTCTGCTTTGGTCACTCATTTGAGCTAACAGCTATCGTCAAGGCAAACCATATCAATTGCCAGTGACTAAAGGGCGAACACGAAATTATTGCGACACCGAAAATGTCATGCCAATTTTCTTATAATGTTTAGAATCATACCAAAATTTTAGGGTAGTTTTATACATATATTTACTTCAAAAATCAAAAGAAAAGTTAATCGATGGAGCCTTGAGTGTAAAATTGAACGCATTTTCGCTTGATGCCCTCCATCAAAGTCTTTACAGTGTCATCCGGTACCAGTTTCTCAGTTTTTTTTTTTCCATTTTCTTAACATGTCCTTCTCGTCTTTGACTGTCTTCTTGCTCTTCCGAAGTTCCCGCTTCATTATTGCCCAGTACTGCTCCACCGGGCGCAGCTCCGGACAGTTTGGCGGATTCATGTCCTTTGGAACAAAATGGACAGAATTGGCCTCATACCACTCCAGGACACTTTTAGAATAGTGGCATGATGCCAAATCTGGCCAAAATAGCGGAGCTTCGTCGTGCTGCTGCAAGAACGGCAAAAGGCGCTTCTCGAGGCACTCAGATTTGTAGATCTCGCCATTTACTGTGCCCTTTGTTACGAAAGGCTCACTCCTCAGTCCGCAAGAGCAGATGGCCTGCCAAATGAGATATTTGGAGGCGAACTTCGACATTTTCTTCTTCTGAAAAACTTCAACCCCGGAATTTGCTTAAAATCGGCTTTTATATACGTTTCGTCGTCCATCACACAGCAGCCATATTTTGTCAGCATCTTCTCGTAGAGCTTCCGTGCCCGAGTTTTAGCCGTCGATTGTTGCCGCTCATCGCGGTTTGGGAAGTTCTGTACCTTGTATGTATGTAGTCCAGCTCTCTTCTTTGCATTCTGGACGTAGCTCTGCGACATGCCGATCTTTTTAGCCAAATCACGGCTTGAGACGTTGGGATTTGCTTTAATCATCCGCTTCACCTTTCCCTCCGTCTTTTTGTTCTCCGGTCCCGGTTTTCTTCCAGCTCCTTTGCCGTGGTCCAACGTCAACCGCTCCTGGAACCGCTTCAACACTCTGGAGACGGTTGAATGGTGAATGTTCAACATTTTTCCCAACTGCCGGTGCGACAGGTCAGGAAATTCCAGGTGTTTGGAAAGAATTTGTTCTCTCAACTCGCGTTGGTTCACCTCCATTTTCGTTGAATCGAAAAACACGACTTCGAGTTTGACAGCAAGTGTTCAAAATTTGGTTGATTTTTACCCAATGGAAAAAAAGTTATGCCCTGTTGAATGTGTCGCAATAATTTCGTGTTCGCCCTTTATGATGATGTCAGTGACTATGCTGTGGTAGTGACTAGTGGTAGTGATGTCAGTGACTAACATGTGCAGATTTTATATTATTGCTGATTCACAGAAATCTTAGCATGCATCGACATTTAAAAAAAACAAGAAGAAGCAACATCCGCAGCTGTCAAGCATAAACACAACTGGATAATAACGATCATTGTTCGAAGCCTCGGTTGAAGACAGATCGAATCGTCTTGATGCAATCAACTCGATCCGCTGGATTATCAATTGTATCAATCAGGCTATACTGGAACCACATGTATCCCTAGAATCTACTAAATAATTGTGGAGACTGGTGTCCTCATGAAACGAAGTTGTGTAGTAGTCCATAGGTTGGTTGGAGGATCTTCTTGTGGCAATGTGCTTAAATGCAGTTAACACTTTTCTATTTAAATAGCTTCAGATTTATTCAATTTATCTTGCAAACTTCCATCTGGTTTCTTTCATGTTTTATGTGTTGCCATGTGAACAAGGTTTTCAACGGGGTCTTTAAAGAACGATTAAGTGTTCGGAAATCCCAAAAGCAGCTGTCAGTGACAATTGTCACAGCAAATGATAATTTTTCTCTGAACTGGCAATAGCTTGTTTGAGTTTTCAGGCCTATTGAGGATCAACGATCCCGGTAGCGTGGCCAAAACCTCAAGCGCCGTGGATATGCATCCTACAGATTTGCAGTCTTCGACAAAGAGCCAACTTTTGGTGATTTCTGATTAGTTCGTACTCCTGTCGTCATAGGTGGTGCTCGAATCTGTCTTTTGAGCGGATCAACGTACAAGGATAGTTTCTTCGGCAAATTTGTGCATTTTATAGTTCCGAGAAATATTGTCGAAGACTTTATATGGTCGGTCAATAAGACTATTTTAAACCTTGTCAAACTTTTTTTTAAAGGTTTTTTATGTTAGTATATTTTTGTATGTAAACTAAAATACATGATGCAAAAGTGTCTATGGTTGCAATACGCAAAAGGATGTTTTTGGAAAGTATTTAAACATTGACATGTAATTGTTTGTTCAAAATCAACCAGATTGTAACAACCCTTACCAGAGGTAAACAAAATGATCAATGGGCAATTTTTCTCTGAAAATGAGTTCCTTGTTTAAATGCTATCTACTTGATATAGAGCTTCCTTTTTTTTTTCTTTATTAGAGAGATTTTTAGCCATAGGCTAGTTCATCTCTTAATACTTGATAGATAATGATCTCATAATTTTAATGTTTTAGTATGTTTAAATAAATTTAATAAAATGTGATCTTTAAGTATTTTTGTACTTTTCATTGTTTAAAAAGTTGTCCAATCATGCAAGGTCCTTGAATTGTTTTCCGTCGATCTTGTTTACCGTGCTGAGCACCAATGCTACCGACGCCAGTGAGGCAGCTCCCACACCTGGGCCCTTCCTATCGACCCATGAACTCATGAACCGGGGATCAACGGCTTTACTTCCCTTCCGAAAGAAGGCGTGATCAGAGATGTTATGCCTCAGAACATCCCGGCGGCGCCTACTGGGATTGAACCCAGTCCTGCTGGGGTGAGAGGTAATCACACTTACTATTACACCAGCGGTGTCGCTTATCTTGCAAGGTCCGAGCATATAATCCATTGACGAATTAAACTTCAAGTTGATATGAACACATTAGTGTTGAGAACTCATCTGGACTCTTTCGGACCGGCGTTGCGAGCCTTTTGAAAACTTTGTTTGCCATCATTTATAGCAAAGTTTTAAAATTTTGGTCCAATTTTTGATTTGTTTCACATTCATTTCAAATGTCTAACTTATAAAATCAGCCATACCTTATCCATGCTCCATTCACTTAGAACACACATGAATTTCATGTGATTTAAATGTCAAAGTCATGTGCATGATTTATTACCATGATATGTTTTGCATATGAATATGTTCTACAACACATGCTAAATTTAAACACGATGCACATGAATTTGATGAAAGACCTTGTAGCAATCTAATAGTATAACTATTGGATTCCAAGTTGAGTTGTTGCTCTGAAATAGATAACTGAATTTCATTTAAGCAAATCGTAGTCATGCATACTGCATTCCAATAGTATCGTACAAACAGAAAAATTGTTATCTGATACGCTTGAAACTCAATATACAGAACTACGATCTACTTAAAAGATAATTATTGAACGGGGTTCAGTATGTAAAAATGATAAACACGATACATTTCAATTTTGATACATTAATTTACATTTTCATATTGTTTGTACAGTATATTAATCGTAGAAGATAGCTTAACCTATGCCCTGGATGCTCTAATCCTGTTTTTCGTTGGATCAATGCCGTGTTTTGTAATGAAAATATTGCATTAATGTTATAAATATATCTTATCATACAAACAATGTACTCACGGTTAATAATTTCTATAATTTCGTTAGGAAAACCTAACTCCACTAACAAACTTACTCTCCTCGCAAAGTTGCTGGTGAATTCCATGTTTGTTTTGACACTTTAGGCACTCTTCTCATCATTATAGTGAGATCCGTACGATTCATGTGTCATACACGTTAAATACACTAGTTGAAAACAGTAGCGCAGAATTATATGAGGATCTCATGGATTTCGATAAGTAAACACATGAAATCAATGTGTGGTTAGTATTGATTTCATAAGCAATAAAAACATATTATTTTTTGTGTAAATCTCATGACATCCGAGGGAAAAGCACATGATTCTATGGTGACAAGCAATGAATGGTCTTCATATTCCAAAACACATGAATGGAACGTGTCATTTTTTTTGAGTGTACAAACGAGAAACACTATTGCCGAATTTGGTTGGTGATGCTATGTCCAGAACAACATGTGAAAAGGGCATACAAGCTTTTTGTAAACAAACCTTTGTAGGCCCTTTTCTCACCAACCGAGGGTCGCCCACGCAAACCAGCAATATCATCGGGAAGGAGAAAGTGTCCCCTACCCGGTGATGTTAAAGGTTTGCGTTGGTGTCATATGGGTGGCGAGAAAAGGGCATAAGAAGGTTTGTTTACAAAAAGCTTGTATGCCCTTTTCACATGTTGTTCTGGATGTCACTTTTGTGTAGGTTTACCATATGGTATCCTAAAGGAGGACATGTCCTCTTTTTTCAATATTTTTTCTACATC